ATTAAGAATGTTATAAAAAAATCATTATGAAGACATGCCAAAAAATGATATAATTTTTATTCCAGTCAGGAAATATGTACTAATATTATTTCATGTATTATTATGACAGTTTCTTTTTTTTTGGGAATTGAAAATTGATTTACATTAGGCTGTTGTTCAGTTAGGTTATGCATTAGGCTGTTGTTCAGTTAGGTTTTGCATTAGACTGTTGTTCAGTTAGGTTTTGCATTAGACTGTTGTTCAGTTAGGTTTTGCATTAGACTATTGTTCAGTTAGGTTTTGCATTAGACTGTTGTTCAGTTAGGTTTTACATTAGACTGTTGTTCAGTTAGGTTTTGCATTAGACTGTTGTTCAGTTAGGTTTTGCATTAGACTGTTGTTCAGTTAGGTTTTGCATTAGACTGTTGTTCAGTTAGGTTTTGCATTAGACTGTTGTTCAGTTAGGTTTTGCATTAGACTGTTGTTCAGTTAGGTTTTGCATTAGACTGTTGTTCAGTTAGGTTTTGCATTAGACTGTTGTTCAGTTAGGTTTTGCATTAGACTGTTGTTCATTTAGGTTTTGCATTAGACTGTTGTTCAGTTAGGTTTTGCATTAGACTGTTGTTCAGGTTATGTGAGAAAGTAGCTGTATAAGAGCTAAAAAGATTGTATCATGTAAAAAAGTGGTTATAAAAGAATTAAGAGATCACACGAAGAAGCCCATATAAAAGAACAAGAAGTTGTCAAGAATTAATAATAAAAATGCTAAAAACCTGTTGTGTTTAAAATTGTTCAAACAACAATATAATGTAAAGTAATGGAAAGATTTATCTTAACCACTTCTTTATTTTTTTGATTTCTACACAACTTTTTTGCATAAATTAACCCCTAAATTGTTTATAATAAAGTATAGATAACTTTTATACAGTTGTTTATTTTTTATTTTTGCTAAATTTTGACATGCTTATAAATGTACATACATTATAAACATACAATGATATCACAAATTATCCATTCAAAAATGCTTTGAACATTTTACTAAAACGTTACTGAAAGTTACTTACTAATTAACAATAATTTATTATTTACTGAAACTCAATTAGGTACTTAAAAATAAAAAACAGGCTAAAAAAATTTTTACATTATAATTAAAAATCGAATGAAAAAAAATATAAACAATTTTTTTAAAGGTTTTTTTTAATATCTATATTTTCAGAACAAGTGACTTCTTTTACCATTTCGAATGGGGTGATAGCATTACAATCACATGACAACCTCTACCTAATCCATACAAACAATACTGTAAATATATAAGCCAATTTTATATGATACTCAGCTTAATTATAATGTCAAAAATTTTTTTCATCGGTATTGTTCATAAATTACAAATAGGGTTTGCAATCCCGGGATCCTGGCCTTTTTTATAATCCTGAAATCCCGGTATTGTCTAATATCAATCCCAGGAATTCCTATACAATCGAACAAAACAAAGAGGAAACCAAAAAATATATAAAAATAACAACAATTTATGCGCATCAATATAATAACTTTTATTTAGTATAATATCGCAGAAAGTAATTCTATTTTAAGTTATTCTGTTCTGTAATTTTGCAAAATAAACTTATTTAAACTGAAAAAAAACGCGCGTTTCTTACAAGGTTTACTCTTAAAATTAAAACTTAAATAAGCATGGTGTATGTGAATTTTACAATTATAAGTAACTCAGCTGTTTGGAAATATTTTTTACGAGAAGAGAAAGGGCAAACAGCAATGTTTAAATTGTCAAACTGCAAGAAGACTTTAAAAATCTGTGGTGGTTCAACGAAAGGACTTCATATACACATGTTGTCGGTGCATAATGTGATGGTCGAAAGTCCAACCCAACCTAATATTACCGGAGAAAGCACATCAGATAAACCATCAAAAAAGAAATCTAAACCATTAACAGAATACTTTTCAATTTTTGTGAAGGAAGATAAAACATTTCACGCTACACTTGCTCATCTAACGACATCTGACAGAGTTTGATTTAATGTGATTTGTTCTTCAATAGATTAACACGCTGCTCTAACTGCTATGGGATTCGGAAATCTACCAACGTCAGTAAACACAATTTGTAATCATGTAGTAGAGTACAGTAAAAAAGTAAAATTTTTAGTATAAAGTAAAATAAAAGTTTAGTTCAGTAAATTAAAGAACTTAAGATTACAGAATTCGGGGTAGGAGAGAAATTTTCTTGGTCTTTTGACAAATAGACATCACTTCGAAATCGTCACTATATGAATATTAATGTTTATGAAAAAAATTCTCAGTTTTGGAGTTTGGGTTTGATGCGAATAACAAGGTCAATGCCAGCAGAAAAGTGCATTGAACTATTAGAAAAAAAACTTTAAGAACATTATCTTGATCTACACAGCAACATTGTAGCTATGACTAACGGAGCTTGTGTTATGAAAAAAGTTGGAAGGTTGCTGGCTGCAAATCAACAATTATGCTTTGCCCTTGGCATACAACTTGCTGTAATTGATGTTCTTTATAAAAAAAATTTTGACAGTGATTCATCTGAGAATGACAAAATTGAGGAAGATTTACTGGGCTACAATCATGAAACTTCAAGATCTAAAATTGAACTAAATGAAGTTCATTATGGACCAGTCATTAAAAATGTACGCAAGTTTATAATAATATTTAGACAATCACCTACCAAAATTTATCATCTTACAAAAATTAATTAAGGCTGAATTTGGAAAACAACTGTCTTTAATTATGGATTGCAAAACAAGGTGGAGCAGCCTTCTGTTAATGCTTAAATGATTTTAAGTAAAAAATTGTATACAAAAATCATTAATTGATATTTACACAGTGTAAGACATAGTGTATATATATATATATATATATATATATATATATATATATATATATATATATATATATATATATATATATATATATATATATATATATATATATATATATATATATATATATATGTGATATATATATATATATATATATATATATATATATATATATATATATATATATATCTATATATATATATATATATAGCTCTGTCGCATAATGATTTGACAATATTATCAGACATTATTATAACTTTAGCTCCTATTAAAGCAACGGTTGAAGCACTTTGTCGATGAGATTTTAACCTATTTATAGCTGACATTGCTATTAATTTTATGCTTAAAAAATTAAAAGATGGTGACAATGACAAAAGCAAGGAAAAGCGTACAGATTTAATGGCTCGTATACATAAACTCCTAACTGATATGAATAGACTTCTGCAAAACCTGCATAAAGGTCGAAGCTCCGTTGAAGTAGATGAAGAAATAATTTACAGTGCCTTCTTTATATATATGTTGAAAACTGTTGGTAAAATTGCTGGAAAGATTAAACGCTTCCAATCCTGCTTTAGTAAGAGCATCAGTTGAGTTTGATATGCTGGATTTTATTGAAGAACCTGAAACTGAAAAACACACTTCAAGTATTGAAGTGGAGCTTGAGCGTGTAATTAAAGAAGCGCAATCACCGATGCAACCAGTTAGGCATGAAACACTGTTATCAAAAATTCACAAAGAAATGACATTATTTGAAAATGGTGGTACACGTAGTGATTATTTAGAAAAAGTTTGTTCATTTCTAATGACAGTGAAACCAACAAGTGTTGAGGCTGAGTGGGCTTCCGCTGGACTGTTTAATAATAAAATTCGTCACAGGTTGGGCGATGAAACATTGGACGCCTTATGCTTCCTGAAGTCACATTTCAAAGCACATGAAACATGATATATTTCCTTATTTTTAATGAAATTTTTTAACGTTAATTAACATGTTTTTCTTGTGTGCATGTAACAATGTAATGCAAACAGCATCATTTATAAAATATATTTTTGTTTAAGAGTGTACAGTTTTTATTCTACTTAATACTATATTGATGCTGTATTTGTTTTTCAATCCCGGGATCCCAGGATTGATGTTTCTCAATCCCGGAATCCCGGGATTGAGAAAGACCTCCGGGATTGCAAACCCTAATTACAAACATAAATTTTTGAAAATGAGAAATCACAAAAAAATACAAAAAAATATATCTGTATAATAATAAGTTGATATTTTAGCAACATTTAGTTACAATTGATTTTGACATCCGAACTTGTTTTAAACTTTTTTTAGAAACTGCTATAAAATTATTATGCAAATATTAAGTTGATATCTTTTAGGATAAAATCTTTCTTTGAAACTTAAATTGTTTTGATTTCAATTATTTGCCTCCTGCTCAATTTTTCCACCTTTGTCAAGAATTAAACCTGATACTTTTAAAATGACTTTGATTAGTAATTAAACCGCATGCCAAAATTTACCAACTAATCATAAAATTACTGAGTTTAGAGTATATATTGGAGAGACTTGCACAATTGTCAGCAATTAGATTTTAAACTGAGCTACTGTGTCTTTCAACTAAGTTACTATGTGTACAACTTGATTGTATGATTATTATATAATTTATTTAATTATTTATTACAGCTACATCTGCTAAATAATATTATGTGAATTTATACTTTTTCTGCATTATTTACCCTTTTTTGATAAATATTTATTAAGTTTATTTATAAATTTAAAGATATTATCTCAATGATTTCTTTAGATAGCTGATTCCAATATGGAAGACTCTATAAAAGAAGAAGAAATTTCATTTGCTAATACTAATTTTGTTTTGGTTGTGATTTGTGTTGATTTAGTATTGGTTATTTCTAATTACTTTTTTTATTCTTTACAGAATTTTATTTATACTTATACTGACAACATTTGTGAAATGCAATAATAATAATAAATAATAATAATAAACAAATCAAAATATAATTATTGAAAATATATAAAACCTGCTTTAAAAATTTTATAAAAAATTATGATTATTAATTTAAATAATACAATATATGTTAATGCAAAAAAATCTTTTCTATAAAAGAAAATTATTCTAAAATTTAAATAAATTATTAAAAAAAAAACACCTGTAAAACAGGTTTAACTTTATTGTTTTCTGTTTTAATGTCAATCCGAAACAAATCTTCTTCAGGATTATTAAGATAAGGTTTATTATGGAAACCTGCAACCAACCATTTAAATTGAATTGGCATTAAAATTTTTATTCTCATTTCATTTTCATTAATTTGGTAAGCCAATTTAAAACTACCATCAAAAAATGAATCTGTACCATTACATTTTGTTAACAAACATAACAATACCAAAATGTATAGCATTTTCAACATGTTTTTGTTTCTAAAAATAAAACCATGTATATATATATATATATATATATATATATATATATATATATATATATATATTATATATATATATATATATATATATTTATTTATATTTATATATATATATATATATATATATATATATATATATATATATATATATATATATATTTATATATATATATATATATATATATTTTACATCCAACAAGATTGCAACCAACCACTATAAAGTTATGATTTACTTTAAAATAGAGAATAAGTAAAAATACTAGGAAATGGTTAATTGTAGATTTAAAAAATTGTAGATTTTATATAAAAGTAAAACATGAAGATGGCTAAAAGTTATATGGTTTATTTGATGTGCAAGGAAAAAAATTAATAAAAGCTTTTATAGCATTAAGGGACAGATACAGTAAAAGTATGAAACTTGTTGAATAAGAAGCCAAGCAAGAATGATATTTGGCTTACTGTAATATAGATGATAGCTCATTTAAGCATTGACCATGTAGGTATTTGTAGAAAAAAAAAGAAATGCTATCTTAGAACAATTTGAGTGTGGCTCAAGCTTGGCAGAAAAGCAAGCCTAATTTTTATAATTACTTTTGCTTGAAAGTAAGAGGGTTGTTATTGATCAATAAAGGAATGCCAACGTTATTGCAATATTTTTTGGCAGAAATAAATGAATTTTGTTATCTAACAAAAATTGTGGATTTTAAGTCCAAAATTTAAATCCGTCAGCCACTGCAAGCCTTAAGTTGTTACAGAAGTATGATCAGATTAAAAATTGGTTGCTTGTTCTAAGCAATCAAAAAGTGAAGACTTTTTGTCAAGACAAGAGTATAAAGTTGAGTCATCAGCAAATAGACCCACATTAGATGTAAAAATTTCATGAAGATCAATATTGTAGATAAAAAATAATACAGAATGATGCTTTACTTAAAATTGAAGAGAAGGAATAAAAGCTTCCAAACTTTTATTCCAGATTAAAAGTTTCCGAGATGCGCGTTATGCATATATGTTATGGATATAAACATATGTTTTTGCTATTTATTTAGATGCTGGCATACAATATCCTTTCATTTTTATATAAACTTTAGTATTTATATGGTGCAGTATTTGCCGAAAGAGTAGATGATCAGATAATGATGATGATAATGGTTATGATAATCTTGTTGATCATAATGATGCTTATATATGCATATTATTACATTCTTTAGGATGTATAAAAGTTTATACAGCCCCGGCTACAAACCCAGCCTTGGTCCAACCCCGGCTATCTTTTATCAAACCGGGTTCGGCCCTGATCAAATATGAACCCTGTTGCTTACTACATATACATATACATAGATACATACATACATACATACATACATACATACATATATATATATATATATATATATATATATATATATATATATATATATATATATATATATATATATATATATGTATATATATACATATATATACATATATATATATATATATATATATATATATATATATATATATATATATATATATATATATATATATATATATATATATATATATATATATATATATATATATATATATATATAATGCAGTAATGTTGTGGTTATAGAGCATTCACTTTATAAGCAAGATGTTCCCTTATTTCTCTGTGCATAGGCCTTGTTTTTCAAGGTTCGTGTTTTGGAGTTATAGAGTTAAAAGAGGGTTATAACCACAATTAAGTAACCTCCTTGTCTGTAGTGACCTTCTTGGCCTTGGGAAAGTGAATTAACAACATATATATATATATATATATATATATATATATATATATATATATATATATATATATATATATACATATATATATATATATATATATATATATATATATATATATGTATATATATACATATATATATATATATATATATATATATATATATATATATATATATATATATATATATATATATATATATATATATATATATATATATATATATATATATGCTTGGCCAGGAAGGCGTGCGATTTCAAGTCTTTATATGACCACGCAAATAATATTTTGTTTTGATGATTTAACCACGGTTTTTAACAAATGCGCTGAAAAAATGACTTGTTGTCAGACCGCTTAGAATAGGAAGCCGATTTTGAATCTGATCTCACTTCTGTAACAGATTGGGGCTCACAGTGGGTTGTAATTTTTAACTCCATTATTTATTGCAAACAACTATCACAGTACTGTCAACATTCCTATATTGATGAATAGCAACCCTCACTGAGTCCTCTTCTTTACATCTTCTTGGATTATCATTTACTACTGACTTTTCATGGAAACTATATATAAAATTGGTTGCTAAATTAGCATCTGCTAAGGTTGCTTCTCTTTATCATGCTTGAAATTGTTTCTACCTTTACAAATCTCTTATTTGTCCCTGTATGAAATACTGTTGTCATACTTAAGCTGGTTATTTTAATGATGCTCTTTCTCTTCTAGACAAGGTTCAAAAACGCATCGTAGATGTAGTTGGATCCACTCTTTCAAAACAAGGATCTAAGACAAGTAAAGTATTTTAAAATTGAAAGTCTTACTCAAATGATTAGAGGTAAGCAAATGACATTCTTTTCATTTATTTTACTTTTTTCTTCATGTAATTCACTTCCTCAAGGCCGAGAAGGCTACTCTATTGTGGTTACAACTCTCTTTCAAATCTTCAACTCTAAAACACAAACCAACAAGACTTTTGTTTTGACAAACAAGACTGCTGCGCAGAGAAACTGGTACTACAAGGGGTGTGGAGGGATCAAACTTAGAACTTTTTGATTATGACGTGAGCACACTACCATAACACCACAACCGCATAAACCTACAATATTTGTGAAATATCTATGTAAATATGTAACAATATGGGTATGCATGTCTTAAACTAGAAGAACAAAATAAAAATAGCAGAATTATTGTTCATTACCCAATTTATATATACATATATATATATATATATATATATATATATATATATATATATATATATATATATATATATATATATATATATATATATATATATATATATATATATATATATATATATATATATATATATATATATATATATATATATATATATAATATATATATTATATATATATATATATATATATATATATATATATATATATATATATATATATATATATATATATATATATATATATATATATATATATATATATGTATATATATATATATATATATATATATATATATATATATATATATATATATATAAGTATTCAAATTTTTACAATTATGTTGGAAAACTACTGTAGTAAACAATAATTTTCCTTTACTTGACAAGATTATTTATTAAATACTCTAAGTGGGACTCAAAACAAACAAAAAAAGCACTTTTATACAATATTTTAAAACAGTTTCTTTTACTCAAATAAATTAATACTAACTTATGCAATATTGTTTTATCATTCCTGTATTTATTGTTAAATCTGTTCTTTAATCTTATTCTTAAAATGTATTTATCACAACAGATTTAGCACAACAGATTGTTTTCATATTTTTATAACACTGTCATATTTTTAGAAAGCTGATTTTTATGTACTTTAAACGTTTATGCGAAATGAGATTTTAAATGTAATAAAATGATCATACCTAAATAATAAAACATAAAATCAAATATGCTGTTGTGCAGATAGATACGCAGCATTAAATAGGTTTAATTCTTTTTAACAATTCTCAACTGATAAATTTAAAAAAATACCTGAAAAAAGTGTACAAAATATTGCATAAATATTGATGCATACTTTTACATTATTAAGTTTAAGTTTGAACTCTATGCTAAACAAATACTAAACAAACACTAAACAAACCCTTATTAAACAAAAGAAATAAAAAATGTCGATTGGGGTAAATCATAACAAATTTTTTTCACCGGTTCAGCATGACAGCATGCTATAATATTATTATTCATTTTTTTTTAACAAACACAAAAAAATATTTTGTAATGTGTAGAAATTAGATTGTTAAAATACAATTACAAACATTACACGACAATTATATTTGCAAGCATAATAAAAAAATGTAAAAATAAATAACGAAAGTGAAATGAAACGTGTCGGCCGCAAAAAAGTCTGAACAAGTCTGCAACACAGCTAAGTGCGTATTCAACAAACACCTTTTGGCACGTTTCAAAATGTAATTGAGATTTTCAATCTGAGAACATGAAGGTTGTAATCAAGCAATCCTAAGAAACGCAACATGTAATTTAGAAATCGTAATATAAAATCGAAAAACACAACACGTAGTATAAAAATCGTAATACATAAGTTGAAAAAAAAATGTAATAAAGAAATCATAATATCTGGGAATTGAAAAACAAAACATGTAATTTAGAAACCGTTATGTATAGTTAAGAAATACAACATGTAATTTAGAAGTCATAATATGTTATTGAGAATACATAAATTGTAATTCCGAATGCACAATGGAAAATTAAAATTATAAAAGATCTTCTTGGGCATGAATTTAATGTTAGTAACATCAAGTTTCAAGTATTTGCATGCACCAGTAATAACTATGGAATTTAAAAATTTTTGTGTTATATCTCAATAGACTAAGACCCAAAAGTCTGTTATTAAATTTAATACGTATAAACATTATTTGTTTAACCCACTTCTAGAACAACCAGCTTCAACTTTTATTACTATTATTTTTTTATTCTGATTCAATCCCAACTAAGCTGCAAGCAAACACTATTAAAATAGAAGTTTCTAGAAAAAAAAAAGAGTTAAAGAGCTAGGAAACGGTTGACAGAAGACTTGAAAATTTGAAATTTATGAGTCAGGAAAACATAAAAATGGAAGAGAATTCTGAAGCGTTGAAGTGCGGGGGAGGACGGGGAGGGGGTTTGTAGAACATACAGTGACAGTGAAAATGAGACTTTACTAAATGACGTTTCAAATGAGAATGAGTTTTAGTTGATAAAACTAGAATTGATAGCTCTTTTGAGCAGCGACTATAAAAAAAATTATAATTTATAAAAAATAATTAAAAAAGTGAGAGGTGGCTTTTTTTTTTTTTGGAGAATGAACTCAGGAGAATGAAAATGGCAAGCATGATAAAGTAAAGCACCCTTAGAAAATGTTAATTAGCACTTTATTGTTGTAGAGTTAAAATTTACAACCCACTGTAAGCCCTAATCTGTTACAGAAGTGAGATCAGATTCAAAACATTTTGTCAAAATAGGAGTAAAAGTAGAGTCATCAGCAGAAATATCTACTTTAGATGTAAGGTTGTCAGGAACATCGTTAATGTATATAAGAAACAAAACAAGACCAAGGATAGACCCTTGCGGTACCCTAGAAATTACTGGAAATAAAAAAGAGTGTTAGCCAAAAGGGGCCCATTTTCAAGCCGAAAAACTATTTTTATTTGATTCTGTTAAAAGCTATACACTGAAAAACTGTGATCTTTTTTGGCTTGTTTATTATTATTAACAAAGTTTAATTTATTGACGATCCCTATCTTTTTTATTATATTTAAATTTCAAAGTTTTAAAAAAGAGTTTTAGCCAATAATTGCTTTTAATTTTCACATTTAGTTAAACTCTCAAATGTGATAAAAATTTGAATGAAAATTCCATTTTTTTTTTTTGTGTAACACAACAAAAACAAAATCGTTAATGATACAAATGATAAAATTATCATTAGGTCTACTATTTTTTTTAATTATTTATTTAAAATTTAAATTTAAAAATAAAAAATTGTTTTAATGATGGCTAGCAAGCCTCTAAGTGGCTAAACTATGTAAAATGTACTCATTTTTGTTACCGGGAAACTAAAACTAAAAAAGAAGAAACACAATCTTTTGCAAATGTACTTAATTTGGAAAGTGAACAGTAGGATACCAGAGAGAGTGGCAGTAAAATCAATGAACTACAAATAAATACAAATTCTTAAGTTAACAATTTTAGAGACAATACTATTGCGTCCGATTTGTCTGATCACAACTCGCTAGATCTCATTATAAGCAATGAAAATGAACCATTTCACTCTGCAGCACTTCGCGAGGTTAGAATTATTTTGTTCTATCTCCACTTTTTGAAAAAAATGAGTTATTAATTGTGTCATGTACCTAAAAATATTGTTTTTCTACAATATTAAAACCTAAATTAAAATCAAAAAATTTTCGGAGAAAACATAAGTAATAAAAATCTTTTTATATGCCGTCTCCTAAAGTTTTTATTTTTTAAATCGTTTTATCTAGAAACAAAAAAATGTGGAGATAGAACAAAATAATTCTAACCTCGCGACTTGTAAACTTTGATGATCCTACCCAGCTAGCACACATACGTTGTTAAAATATTAGAACAATGTCGCGCGTTTCGTTGGCCCAACATCGGCTGCCAACGTTGTTTTTATATCATTATGGTTACAAAAATGTTGATAAAATGTTTTATTTAAGTCGGAAAATAGTTATACTTTTTACGTTTATTCAACGTTTCATTTTATATTTTGGCCCAACGTTGTATTTACGTTCATTCAACGTTGAACTTTAATTGGCAAAACGTTGTATTCAATACTATTCGGAATTAAATTTTCATTAAATTCTATTATCTATATATGTATATATGTATATATGTATATATGTATATATATATATATATATATATATATATATATATATATGTGTGTGTGTGTGTGTGTGTGTGTGTGTGCGTGTGCGTGTGCGTGTGTGTGTGTGTGTGTGTGTGTGTGTGTGTGTGTGTGTGTGTGTGTGTGTGTGTGTGTTAATACAGCTGACGTAAGCATTATATACACATAAATAAGATTGATAACGCTTAATCATTAAAACAAAAATCTAGTTTGTGTTGATTGTGGTTTAATATTTTAATAATCACCGAAGTATTTATTTAAGTTATATAATTTTGCAATAGCAATGCTTGGTCGCATACATTGGATCAACGTTTGGTTTAGTTTGTAAAAGCAATCAACTTTTTGCAATGTATTTACATACATTGGATCAACGTTAATTTATATACATTAAATCAACGTCGAAATTTATACATTGGATCAACGTTGGGTTTAGATCATAAAAACAATCAACTTTTTGCAATGTTTTTACATAAATTGGAAAAACGTTGATTTATATACATTGAATCAATGTCGAGATGTATACATTGGATCAACGTTGGGTTTAGATCGTAAAAACAATCAAATTTTTTCGATGTTTTTTCATACATTGGATAAACGTTGATTTATATACATTTAATCAACGTCGAAATATATACATTGGATCAACATTGGATTTAGATCGTAAAAACAATCAACTTTTTGCGATGTTTTTACATACATTGGACCAATATAAATTTGCTAGATGTTTTTAGTTTCGTCAGTAATAACTTTATCATTAACTAAATGACATTGGATCAACGTTGGTATTGCACTGGAAAAAAGAGCCGACGTTTGCGATGGTTTTACATACGTTGGCCCAATGTAAGTGTGCTAGCTGGGATACTGATAGAGGGCATTAACCAATCGATATAGCTTATCCAAATATAAACAAATTTATTTTTGCACATGGATCATGTAGACCAAAGGGACCTTTTTCGAAAGACAACAAAAACAGATGTTTTTCTGTCAGTTACTATAACACGTCGACGAAGTCAGGTTTGACTATACCGGTGACTTGGTTGTGCCATTCAAAAAATTTAAATTTTGAAGCGGCTTGTAAAAATTACTCTACGTTTAGCCTGCATTGGACAGTCATTTAGAGGACATAATGAGCATATCGGTGCGGTATTGTGCGGTATTGTGCGGTATTGTGCGGTATTGTGCGGTACGACAATTTTTTATCTGAAGTTCCTAGCAGATTTTGATCTAATAATGAACTTTTAAATAAACACAACATAAAATATTTGAGTTCGGAAATTCAAAATGAAATAATTATTATACTATCGGAGCATCTTAATAAACGGTAGAAATCAAGTCTGCATTGTTTTACTTAATTATTGCTGATACTACTTAAGACATTAAAAAGAAGGACCAATTAAGTTTAACTATCAGAAAGGAATATCGTTACAAAAGTACCGTGAGCAGAGATATATCGGTGCTAGTGTTATGTCACGTATTGATGAAGGTGTTCAAAAACGTATTAGTGATGAACAACCATCGGCGGTTTGTTTTTACTGAACTGCACTTAACCTTAACCTCGTTATAAACAATGCTGTTAATGGAGTTGGTGAAATGAAGTTGGTGATTTTTTCACTGTTCTAAAAAATGTATATGAATTTTTTGGGTTTAGCATGAATAGATGGGATATGCTTAGCAGTTTAATTGAAGAACCAACAATAACATTGAAAAAATTAAATTCGACTCTATGGGTAGGACAAGCACAAAGTTTGCTTAGTATGAAAATTAACTATTTCAACACCTTAAAACTATTGACTTCTATTAATCGTTCAAAAAAACAGAAAAGGATGAATCTTTAAGACTTAGGAAACCCATTGAAAATTTTTATTTTGTTTTTCTGCTTCGTTATGTTTTCTAAAATACTTGGAGCAATTGACCTAGCCTCTAAATATTTACAAAAAAAGAACACAGATTTGTTTATTGCCTCGCAACATCTTGGAAATGCATTGGAGACGACTACAAAGTGCAGAATGAATTTCGACAAAGCTAAAAAAGAAGCAGTTACAGTTGCTAGCAAGTGGGGTGTTGAAGTAAAAAAAAAGTAAAAAAAGATGTGAGAAATTTTTTGATTAAAGACTCGAAGACCTT